GCAGCGAGGAGGCAGATTTGAATGGTTATGATTAGTTTTGATGGAACGCTGCCGCAGGCGCTTCCTGCAAATGGATGGTGAGTGCGCGCACGGGCGCGCTCACAGAGGGGGAGAGGGCCATTACACAGATTGAAACCTATCACGACTATGCAAAACCTGTTAAAATTGTGATATTGAAACATATAGTGGAAATTAACCAAATCTTTAAAAAATAGTTTTTTTTAAACGTATTATATGTGTTTACCTCATTTTGCTTCGCTCTAAAACATTGCATTAGATAAATGGACCATTTTGAGTGCAGTTTCTATAAAATTATTTCTTAAAATCCTTATCCGTTTGAAAGGTCATGGAGATTTTTTAAGATGTGTGGGAACTCATGTCATTTTTGTGCAAAATATGAACTGTGAACCAAAGTGTTTTTTTTCTCACCAGTTTTGGTGTGACTCGCTAAATATGTTTATTGCATTGGAAACATCACTCTAAATAAAATGGCTTATGAATTCAATATATAGGCCTATTCACTCACACACTGAATAGGCTGTGCCATTCAAAACATTTATAAAATCCACAATTGATGTTGAGATTCTATGCTATACCTATTATGCATGCTACTAAGAAAAAAGGATAAGGGACTGGAAAAGATGGTAGGATAGTGAATGGCAACAGGACATTTCAAATCGTTGCACTCACACACACACACACACTCAGCCCTGAGGCAGGAGCATTATGGCTGACTCCACTGTTCCAGTCTTTTTCTATGGAGACAGACTTTACCATCAGCATCCTATCTTTAGTTAAACAAATGCAGCCTTCTTTCTTTCTTTCTTTCTTTCTTTCTTTCTTTCTTTCTTTCTTTCTTTCTTTCTGACAGAAGAAGGTATGATAGAATGTATTAATCTCAGTCCATTCTCATCGAAAGTGCCGCCACTCTTGCGCATCTCCTGTAATAAGACACATCATTTATCTGCCTGTTCTCTGGGTGTTCTCTTCTTTGAGTGTTTGAGAGAGATTTTAGCACGTGTCAGCCAGGAACTCATGGCAAAGAGAGAGAAGGTATGAGGGAGTAGGTGTGTTGCCTGCGAACTGCGCGAAAAAGTGTGTTTGCATATGTTTATGTGCGCGTGTGGCACCTTCTCAGTTCACTCCAGGCACTGTGAGAATCAAACAATTTCATGCAGCGAGCAGAAGGGGAAATGAACTGAGCCGTGAGCCATAATAAAATTATCCAAATGTTATTATGGCGCCGGCTGCCTCTGTCCTACTTTAATACACATTTCAGATCCTCCGGGTCTCCTGCTGGCACTAGCCCTGCTGAATAAATCAACATTAGCTTATGTCTAAATTATTAAGGAAGTGACTTAGGCTCCTGTTTATTGTATAAATTATTAGGAGGGTGAAAGTGTTAAATGCTAGATTTGCCATTTAAAATTCAAAAATTCCCTAAGTAACGGCTATTTCTCGGAGTTTCCGCATGGTGTGCTTGTGTGATGCACGTGCACGTGCGCATCCCTGCGAGAGAAGAACTGGAGACAACGAGTGTTTGCGCGAATGTGTGTAAGGATCCCTGGGGTTAACTTGGTAAGGTGATAATGAAAATGGCACTGCTTTTCTTTTTAAAACCTTAATTATAAAACGTATTGCTACTTCCGCATTAAAATTTTGTGTTTCACTTTATTTGATGGTCCCTTTAACACATTCTGGTAACGTTACATTGGGTTAGAATAGGGCTAAGTTGACATGAAGTTGCAAAGTTACCATAAAAAAAAAGTTAGCAGATTAAGCAGACAGTCTAATACTCTAATGAGAGACAGTTAGTTGACATGTAGTTCCAAAGCAACATGACATCATGACTTTGCGTAAACATACACGCCACTTTCAAGTCAAGTGGCGTGTTATCTATACGCATTTAGAGCTATCCGCGTGTATGTGCACGCCGAAACGAACCGTCATCTTTTGCGTGTATGCCGTTAAACGTCCGAGTGATTCCGCGTGTATGTGTACGCCGTTAAATGTCCGAGCGAAACGAAGCAAAATTCATACATCTGTGGAACAATATTTTTTTTCCTAGGATGGTAGGGGAAGACTCATAAATAGTATTAACCCCAGTGACGGGTAGGTTTAGGGACGGGGTTGGGGTAGGTCATATATTTATATATATGTAATGTAACGTTAAGTCAACGGCGTTGATAAACACGCTGAAAAGCGATTATGTGTGTTGATAGCACGCCAAAAATGGAAATACGAATTGGCGTGTCATACATACGCCATTTCATGAGATCATTCGCGCTCGTAAATTGTCAAATTGGCCATAACTTTTAATTCGTTGCTGCCAACTGGGGTGGCAGCAGGGGTGGCAAGGCTTTCTTTTAGGGTGGCATTTGCCACCCTATGCCACCCCGGTAGATCCGCCCCTGGCTATATGGTCAACATAATGTTCAAAAGGGACCATCAAAATAAAGTTTTACCAAATTTTGATTGGATGAGCCGTATTCCAAGCCATTTTAAATGCTTAAGCACATCTGGGATTTTCATTTGAATCCTATTTAGGAATAACACACATAAACTATCTGACAGATAGGCTTATCAGTGAAACAAGCTATTGTTACACCTGTTTATCAGTTCTAGGCTAAAAAAACAACAACAAAAAAGAATCAGGCTAGCGACCCGTGCTTTTTTAACCAATCAGAAACGTTTTTTTGGATGATATGATAATGTTATAATAATGATAATGTTACCTGATTTTATTGATTTGAGCTTTCAGTCACTCAGTTTCCTTAAAGGTCAATAAGCTTTGCACAAGAAGGCCTCTTTAAAGCTGCAGTCCGTAGTTTTTCCTCTTTGTCGCCATCTTATAAGATAAGATGAATATTTTCTTTTCATCTTATAAGATAAGAGAAAAGGCTATAAATCTCCACCTCCAGCATCCTCACACGCAATACAGCCTATAGCCGAGACTCCTTTTTTATGTGTACAGATGTGACGTAATGATGCAAAGACATTCTCGAATCTCCCGCGGAAATCCACCAGTACCACTGGAGTTAAAAACACTATTACAAGCTTACCGCTTTGAATCGAGCTAAGGCAAGCAGATAGCTTTGAACACTGGCTGGTTATGTACTTGCTCAATTTATTTTGGATAATTTTTAACCCAAAAAAGTTACGGACTGCATCTTTAAGTCCTCAGACTATTTAACACTCAAACCATGTGTGTGTCACACTCAGGAAGACCAGAATTGCATTCTTGAAGATGTAGACACAACCTTCCAGGCTTCCACACACAGCCCATCACTTTCATTTGTCTCCAGGAATATTCATTGGGCTGCTTAATATTACACAAAACCCCAGTGTAAGCTTGCATGCATATTCATAGTCAGATTGTTTATTGTTTTTAGCCTCTGGCTTCAACTGTCACATAAAACTTTTGTGTATGTGCATAAACACATATGTTTCCAATGCACATCGGTCTAAATTACTTACTGTGCTTTTGCAATTTTCATCACTTGTTTTGGGGTTTAAATAATGTCTAAAATGACTTGAGTCTGTGAATTTGGATTAATGCACAATCATTTACACACACACACACACACACACACTTTGATGCTGGTATAGTTTGGGCAGCTTTATGTACGTTGTGATGGAGAATCTCCTTTAGTCACATGGGAAAATAAATATTTTAACAGACTAACTGCCGAGTTTTTTCTTTCTCCAATTAATTTAAATGGAGCAATTAAGATTTAAATTTCCATAAATAGCTGAGGGAGGGATTGAAGAGTGGAGGGCTGCCTCTGTTACAGTCAAAAGCCTTGGGATTAACCACCTTCTTAATTATAAATAAAAACATAAAAAATTGCACTTCCTCACTCCCTCCCATTCTGATTTATACACATACACACCATGATTGCTGCAGCCTTTAACCAATTTACAGGATTTTTCCATTATTTTCTCAGTTGTATGGGATGAGGATATTAGACAAGAAATCACAGAAATTTATTGCAAATATAAAGAACAAATTATTGCAAACTACTTTTTTTTTTTTTTTTTACAGCTGAGCATCATTAGAACATCATTATATTCAACAGAAATTCACACAACTTTTTACATTTTGATGAATTTACCTGTTTTTTAAGCCATGAAATCAAACAATATTAAAATGATTAAAACAATATATCCAGGTTTTTCATGACCACCCACCCACACACACACACACACACACACACACACACACACACACACGTTACTGACTAAGTGAAAGAAAGGGAGTGTTATAAAAGTGAAACTGAAAATGAGAATGACTTATGTAAGAGGACAGAGGAGCTAAACGGTCCCCGAAACAATATTTCATAACAAAAAAATCTGGTAGGCTACTCATCACCAACAGATAAATAAATCTGCTCAGCATTGGAGTTTCAGGTTTACGACGCAGTTTAAAGATGTGCTACCCTCTGCTGGTAAACAGATGCAAATGCCTGCTGTAAAAGTAATTATTATGGAAGCCTATTTTTTTTTATAACTCTGTGGGTAAAATGGGCTTCCGTAAGAAGTTCCTGTTACTTTTCTTTAATATAATATAATATAAACAGTTAATATACATCACTTGATTACATATAACTGTATGCATCCAACACATGGCTAGATAATTAATCAGCCTAAAATAACGTAATTACAAGTTGCATATTATGAAAGAACTGACACAATATAGGACACGATATGTTCGTGTTTTGTGTGGATGTGTCGGAAAAGTCATGCATTTTAGGCTCAAAAAATAAAATAAAAGTCATGCAGGGTTGCAATTATACCGATTTCTGACAGTGAGATTCAAAGACATAACATCATCCATAACCTTAAGGAAAAAATTAAATATAAAAATACTCTACACAACATTAAATTTAAAAGGGAGAGGGGTGAGGACAGAAGTAAAGGGCAGAAGGGGTTAATATTCATACAGAGTGCACTGAGAAGGAAAATAGTCTGCATTACTATGGTGATGATCTAATCTCAACCCCTGATTGCCAGGTAATAACCCGTAAACCAAAGAAAACCGTTACAGTTGCTTAGATTTGAGAATCCCATTTAGTTATTGATTCTGTAGTTGATGAGGTGCATCTGCTAAAGGATGTTCAGCGACTGGCTAAAATCTTCAAAGTGGATTCTTCTATTGGATATGAGATCTATGGGCTGTGACTGGCATACAGGGAAGAGCGTTTTAAGCGAGTTCAAAGACAGACCATTATGGTGGTTTAGCTCATTCTTAATGATTAAAGTCAAGTGTTTGGAGTCGTTCGGTAAAAGGTTTCTACACAAACGCACGCTGTGACTCTAGATCAGATCTGTTTCTTTGAGCTCATTAATGTTGTGCTGTTCCTCCTCAGTGGCTCTCACTAGTCATACAGACGACAGCACTTCTCCAGCAGACTCCCTCTGCTTCTTCTCTGCCCTCTCCAGGTCCAGCACTCGGATCGCTGCCTGCTTGGCCATGAGCTGAGCTTGATCGCTGGGGTACGTCTCGTTGTCCACAACCCGATACGGGTCGATTTGGAAGGGGCTCTTGGAGAGGACGTCGGCATAGCGCCGCTTCAGGTCAGGGTCGGGACAGAATAGATATTCGTACACAGCGGCAGCCAGGATGCCCCCTATTAAAGGGCCCACCCAGTATACCTGAGAGAGAGAGAGAGAAATAATAAATCTGGTTAAAAAATATACTATGTGAATTTTATGTAATTAAACAATTAATCTTTTAACTCAAATTGTGAGTTTTAGGATTTAGAAATGTACCTCTAATACATTTGTTTTAATTCAATTGAATTAATTCATTTCACTTCTCACTCACAAGTGAGTTTTAGGATTTTGAAAAAAATGAATTATGTAAAATGAATAATAAATATTTAAGATTCTGTACAATTTTAAAGGGATACTCCACTTTTTTTGGAAATAGGCTTATTTTACAACTCCCCCAGAGTAAAAACTGTTGAGTTTTACCGTTTTTGAATCCATTCAGCCGATCTCCGGTTCTGGCGGTACCACTTTTAGCATAGCTTAGCATACATCATTGAAGTGGACAAGACCATTAGCATTTCTAAAAAAAAAAAGACGAAAGAGTTTCGATATTTTTCCTATTTAAAACTTGACTCTTCTGTAGTTACATCGTGCACTAAGACCGACGGAAAATGTAAAGTTGCGATTTTCTAGGCTGATATGGCTAGGAACTATACTCTCATTCCTGCGTAATAATCAAGAAACTTCACTGCCGTACCATGAGAGCAGCAGGCGTAATGATATGACGAAGCGACTGAAAATAGTTCCGTTGTGTTGACGGAAGGTGGCCTATTTTCAGGCGCTGCGTCATATCATTACGCCTGCTGCTCTCATGGTACGGCAGGAAAGTTTCTTGATTATTACGCAGGAATGAGAGTATAGTTCCTAGCCATATCAGCCTAGAAAATCGCAACTTTTCATTTTCCGTCGGTCTTAGTGCACGATGTAACTACAGAAGAGTCAAGTTTTAAATAGGAAAAATATCGAAACTCTTTCGTCTTTTTTTTTTTAGATATGCTAATGGTCTTGTCCACTTCAATGATGTATGCTAAGCTATGCTAAAAGTGGTACCGCCAGAACCGGAGATCGGCTGAATGGATTCAAAAACGGTAAAACTCAACAGTTTAACTCTGGGGGAGTTGTAAAATGAGCCTATTTCCAAAAAAAGTGGAGTATCCCTTTAAGTTTCTTTTAATTAAATGTATCAAATTAATTAAATAATGAAAACAATTAAGACATTTTATGTCAAAATAAGAAATATTTAATATAGATATATCTGCATTTATATGTAGCTGTGTTCTGAATCATTGGCATCCCTTGTAAATATGATCAAAAATGGCTGTAAAAAATAAATCTGCATTGTTTATCCTTTTGATCTTTCGTTCAAAAAAGTCGCAAAAATCGAACCATTCATTGAAGTCAAATAATTGAATGTGGGGGGGAAATCACATTATGTGATTTTATGTCGCATTAAGATAACAGCTCTGAGTCTTCTCCTATAATGCCTGATGAGTTTGGAGAACACCTGACAAGAGATCAGGGACCATTCCTCCGTAATGAATCTCTCCAGATCCTTCAGATTCCCAGATCCATGTTGGTGCTTCTTCTCTTCAGTTTATCCCACTCATTTTCTTCAGGGTTCAGTTTAGGGGACTGGGACGACCATGGTAGAAGCTTATTTTTGCGCTCGACACATTTTTGTTGATTTTGATGTTGTTTTGGATCGTTGTCCTGATGGAAGATCCAACCACGGCCCATTATAAGATTTCTGGCAGAGGTTGTCAGGTTTTGATTTTTTTTTTAATCTGCTATTTGCTAGAATCCATAATACCATGAATCTGAACAAGATGTCCAGGACCACAACATATAAGATCCAGCAGGTATATTTAACCGTAGGCATGGGGTACTTTTATCCCTGTTTGCACCAAACACATCTGGTGGGTTTGCTGCCAAAAAACTATTTTTTTAGTTTCATCTGACCACAGAACCCAGTCCCTTTTGAAGTTACAGTTATGTCGGACAACTGAATATACTGGACTTTGCAGAGGATTTTTCTTGAAACTCTTGTTGTGTTCTCTCAAGTGGGGGTTTAATAATGCATTGAGTTAGTGTTCAGGGATGCATAGAGTTCGATTGTGCTGGAAGCATTCTGTGATGCCTGACGATGTATGGGTTCGTTTACTTGGGTCTGAAAGCTCAGGATTGAAGTAAAAGTTACGATAAGTTGATGTTACTCTCTGTGTCAGTGTAATCTTTTCAAATGTAGGGGTTGTTTGATTTTTTTTTGTTTTAGGCTTCTGACCCCAAGACTCAAGTAATCTCTGCAATTCTCCATCTGTGATCCTTGAAGAGTCTTTGGTCACTCAAACTCTCCTCCTCACCGACACTATAGACACACGTCCTCTTCCTGGCAGATTCCTAACATCTTTAGTTGATTGGAACTTCTTAATTATTGCCCTGATGGTGGAAATGGGAATTTTCAATGCTTTAGCTATTTTCTTACAGCCACTTTCTATGTAGTAAAGCTCAACAATGTTTTGCTGCACATCAGAACTATTATTTGGTTTTACTCATTAATGGATGATTAATGGAATTTGGCCTTTGAGTTTCCTCATATTTAATTTCATGTTCCTATTCACCCTGGTGTGGTAAAAATATTAAAAATGAGTCAATATTAATGAGAATATACTTCCGATATATTTTACTCATAAAAAATTCTAGGGGTGCCGATAATTGTGGCCACCGTGTTTTGGAGAAACACATTTATTTCATAATGTGATCCCCCCCCCCCCCCCCACTTTCAATTATTTTACTTCAATGAAAGGTTAGATTTTTTTCAATTTTTTTGAATGAAAGATCAAAAGGATAATTTTTTTTTTTTTTTTTTTTTACAGCCATCTTCGATCATATTTACCAGGGGGGGTCAATAATTCTGACCACAACTGTATAATAACATAATATATAATAATGCAATATATATATATGCATTAATATACAATATTATATTTATTATTTATTTATATAGCTCAATAAATATAATGAATATTAAACTTTTCACACAAATTGTTATTATGCTAATATTATAATTTGCAATGAAAAAAAAAATCTATTACATTTAAAATGTGAAATAAATTTTAAATGTGAAAGTGCATATTCACTGATGGTCTTAGATGTTTGGAGTTGGACCCCACTGTATTAATCATGTTTTGCATTTTGTGTATATGATTGAATATATTGTGAAAATGTTATTTTTTTATAAAGTATGCCCTTTCCTTTCCTTTCCTTTCCTTTCCTTTCCTTTCCTTTCCTTTCCTATATTTTCAGCCTAGTAAATAATCTGTCCAGCTCTTATATCCGTGTCTGATATATGTATTTTATCAGTGTGACAAGGATATTGACTCCAGAAGTGTGCCAAACCTGGATCACTAACTGCCGTGACGACAGAAATAGAAGTGGGTGCGACCGACTACATAGCACAGGCCAGATACATTTACCCTGCACAACCCCGGACAGTGTCCACAAATGCAGTTAATGTTGTTTATCTCATTATTTCCAAACGATTATATATACAGTATAATGATCACCAGCAGCTCTCATTAGTGTAACAGTGCCAGTGTGATCTTCAAGCTGCTTCACGTCTGATGCATTGCTTTCATTCATAATCTCTAAAATCTTTCATTGATGAAACTTACACCAAGGCCTTGAAAAGAGCACTGTGCGTAGCATGGTGTAAGTGCGGTAAACACTCCATGAGAGAAATGTTTTGACCTTTCTAATGTAACAGCACCACAGGGGAGACCCTGTATCAACCCTGATGACAGCAGCAGTCACTCAGACGCGCCACTCATGAAGATGCATAACACTCATATGTGCATGTAGGGAGCACACCAACCAGTGTCATGTGTTATTTTGAAGGCCACATCTGTCTGCTTTTTTGACTGCTCTGTAATGTTTCAAGGAGAATGACATTTGAAAATCGCACAAGCAAGAGAGCTGCAGTGTGCCTTGCAGCCGTTTGATATTCAGTACAACAGCAGGATTGAGAGTATGGTGCTTTTATGGTGCAACAGTTCTACACTGATATATTCAAAATGAATTAATCCAGTATATCAAGATTCATGCCAAAGGTCTGTGGTAGGTCAGAGATAAATGTCTTCATGCGCCAGATATAGTTCAGGCTCCTTTGTAGGAGTGAAACAAAGCCAAAATTTTCTTCTTAAAAAAGTTTTGGCATTGAATCAAATTCTCGTCAGCTTCACTTTTATCAATCGCAGTTCCAAAAGGCCTTGCTGACCTTGAATCTTTATGCACATAAATATCAATGTAGGGTTTAGAAAGAACTTAAAGCGATAGTTCACCCAAAAATTGAAACAATGTCATCATTTATGCACCCTCAAGTTGTCCCAAACCTGTATGAGTTTCTTTCTTCTGCTGAACACAAGGGAAGATATTTTAAAGAATGTCTGTAACCAAACAGTTGATGGACCACATTGACTTCCATAGTATTTTTTTTCTCCATACTATGGAAGTCAATGGGGCCATGGGCCTGTTTGGTTACAGACATTCTTCAAAATATCTTCTTTTGTGTTCAGCAGAAGAAAGAAACTCATACAGGTTTGGGACAACTTCATGCGTAAATGACAGATTTTTTCATTTTTGGGTGAACTATCTCTTTAATGAGTCTTCGTATTGTTTATCCACACACAGAATATATTGTGTGAATCTTACCCAATGGTCCTGCCATTTTCCCATGATGACCACAGGACCAAAAGAGCGAGCTGGATTCATACTGGCTCCAGTGTACGGGATCTGAAACACACAGACAAAACGTGTTACACTTGTTATGAATTTTGCAAATAGGCTTATTGGAAAAAAACGTGCCTCTAGTTACATTTTTGCAAAACTCTACAAATGTGCTTAAACTATACAATTCACTGCAATTTCCAGCCTGAATTAACACTTGCTGCAGTAATTAACCAACAAATTATGATTATGGGGCAGAATATCGATTAATAAAGACTAATTTTTGTGCGATTTCTCGCACAGCACTGTGTTATGAGTATGACCTCAAAACACTTTTACCATAGTGCATGATTTGTATACTAATACATTTTGACATCTGCATCACATAGCCAGCTCCATACGTATGGATTTTCTGACGTAGTAAACTTGCTCTGCAACTTACCTGATACAGCACTCCTAAACATTCAATAAGTAGGCTAAAATGCATTGTTCCTTCAGAAAACGTTATCTCATGCTTGCTATGGTTAACACTATCATTGTTCATTTCAAACACAATTGAGCATCGACCTTATTCAACGTAATAAACCAAAATAATAAAACTTTGCCAGAATCATGTTCATACGTTTCCAATAAAAACCAACACACTTTTAGCACCACTCACGGGACATTTTTTCACTCTAAGAGTGTTGTGAAATATCCAAGAAGCAACATAATATCATTTTGCAGAAATGTCGCTACAGGTTGGAATTATGAGAAGAGACTCTAAAAGGAAGAGCAGAAGAGATGCAAAGAAACAATGTGAAGAATGAGTGAGCTGAGTGACAGTGGTTTGGCTCTTTAAATCATAAATGCTGCTCTAAAGGGTCTTAAGTAGAGTTTGTCTCAGTGCCAGACCTAAATACATGAGGGCATGTAGAGGGCATCCCGCTCTCATGCCAACTTTCTTAGCAACACAAATGAGCTTTCATATAAACACCTCATCTGCAGATTCTGCTGGGATTATTGGCATGGAAATAACACTATCACTTGGGATTGTAGCTAGGCTACACATTCTCCAAAGGAGAACTAAGCAGATACACCTCAAGAGACTAATCTTTATAGGATAAAGATCTTCAAGCACTGCTTAAAAATGTGCTTGACAGTGCAGGATTGAAAATTTCAGTTAAGGTTAAAGCGCTCATAAGAAACATGCATCGGAAAGCGCATGAAATGTATAGCAATACAATTTTACACAATTCATTTAATGGAGCAAATCAGGAAATACTCACAGCAAACAGATGGCCGACGCACACCGACAGGCCAATAGCCAGCGCTGCCGAACCTTTAAGATCACTGCGCTTGGGGTCACAGGTGGCAAAGACGGTGAAGACAAGCTCAAAAGTGATTATGAGCTCTATCACAATGGCATGACCAGTGGAGATTTCAGTATTGACCTGCAAGGGGCGATAGTGAGTTATAGCGTGAGCGATATCGAATACTTGCTCGACACCAGTGTTTTTCAATCATTCTCCTGGAGGCCCCTACCACTTACAAATTTTAGGGATCACACTAATGAGACATGCCTTATTTAGGTTATTGAGTGCTCTACTAATGACCGATGAGTTTAACCAGGTGTAAAACTTCTAATCAACTGCCTTAAAGGGTTAGTTCACCCAAAAATGAAAATTCTGTCAGTAATTACTCATCCTCATGTTGTTCCAACCCCGTAAGACCTTCGTTCATCTTCGGAACACGAATTAAGATATTTTTGATGAAATCAGAGAGCTGGATCACTCCTCCATACTAGTCCATAGGCTTCTTCAGGGATTGAACTTGCCGGCCTCGAAAAGTTATTAAAGACATCGTTAAAATAGTCCAAGTGACTACAGTGGCTCAACCTTAAGTTTATCAAGCGACGAGAATACTTTTTGTGCGCAAAAACAAACAAAAATAACGACTTTATTTCAACTATTCATTTCCTTCTCTGTGGGCCTCGAGTCAGTTCACTAGTGTAATAGCGAAAGCTTCTGTTGTTGTACGTCACACGCATCATGCACATGACCAGCGTCGGCCAATAGTGAGCCTACGTGTGACGTAGCTCTACGCAATCACACTACGCTTACTGACTAGAGGCCCAAAGAGAAGGACATGAATAGTTGAAATAAAGTCGTTATTTTTGTTTGTTTTTGCGCACAAAAAGTATTCTCGTCGCTTGATAAACTTAAGATTGAGCCACTGTAGTCACTTGGACTATTTTAACGATGTCTTTAATAACTTTTCGAGGCTGGCAAGTTCAATCCCTGAAGAAGCCTATGGACTAGTATGGAGGAGTGATCCATCTCCCATATTTCATCAAAAATATCTTAATTCGTGTTCCGAAGATGAACGAAGGTCTTACGGGGTTGGAACAACAATGAGGGCGAGTAAATACTGACAGAATTTTCATTTTTGGGTGAACTAACCCTTTAAAGCGATTGCCCAAAACCAAAACCTCTGTCATCATTTACTCACCCTCATGTTGTTCTGTATGACTTTTTCTTCTGCGGAACACATTTGTGGAAGACATTGTAAAGAATGACTCGAGTGCTTTTTGCTCATACAATGAAAGTCAATGGGGTCCAAAACAAAACAGGACCCTGTTGACTTTCATTGCATGAAAGAAAAAAATAAAGACGAGTCATTTTTGGGTGACCTATTCCTCTACATTTTTGGGTGACCTATTCCTCTAATTAAGAAATACTCACAGAAGTCACTCCCAATCCTCCTCTCACTGATGCTGGTGTCACTCCATACAAGACGGCCGCCCCCACTATTGCCCCCAGGCATTGTGCTAACAAATAAAAAACACCCTTTGCCAGGCTCAGCTTCCGCGTGGCAACCATCGCCGCTGTAACGGCCGGGTTGATGTGGGCACCGCTGATGTGCCCGAAACACTGGACGAGGGTTGCGATGGATAAGCCAAAGCAGAGAGAGATGAGGACGAGGTCGGCAGGTGGAGGGTTCTCCTGTTTTGCTGTCCAGTTGATTGTGGATCCAAGACTAAGCAGCACGAATATTATCATGGCTAAAAACTCCCCCGAAACCGCTCGCCAGAATTCCTGAGTCCACACACCCTTGAAGGCTGCCATGACACGGTTATTGCATGAGCAAGACGACACACACCTCCTTAAAGGAATAAAATGAGAGAGAGAAAAAAATGTTGGTGATCTGTATTCGTGATTCATACCATAAGAGTAAGACCACGAGTACACTTCTGGTGTGCATTTTTGGGGGATTTGGTTTGTCCCACTTTTGGTTTAAAGGGGTCATGACATTGATTTTTTATTTGAATATGTACCTTGATGTTCACTAAAAATGTTAATACAGTTCTTTGCACAAAAAAGGAAAATATATATATATGGCTCCTTTAAGGCTTGTCAGTGAACGGCCGATTTTATGATTAGCTAATGTCACTGCATGTGAAACAGTATCAACGCCCACTCGCTCGCTATTGCATGTGCGAGTTAGTGTTTTGAAGACATAAACATTATCCATATAAAACCATAATTTACAACATTATGAAATCATTTACTCTGCTGTCAGATCCAATACTGTTCGCTGCTTTATCTTTCAACAAAAGTTTCTTTGCGAACTCTCCATTACACTGTACCTCACTGACTCCGAGTCCGAACAAACAATATAATACTCCGAAGAGATCCAGGATGGCATTCAAATAAACCAATAAAACCATGCACTTCTCGTTATTCAACCAATAAGATCATAAATTACATCATCTCATATCAGATATACATTGTATAACAATTCTATAAATGGTCAAATCTCCACACAGAGATTGTAGGTCCGAGAAGGTCAGTGTAATACACAATGCATAAGAAAGAACAAAACTCTCTCTCAGAGTCTAAGGGGTCCTTCTTAATCTGAAACAGATGTTTAACTTAAATACATGAAAGGAATGTGTAAGTAAGGCTCTTGCTCTGGACAATAGCTGAGAGAAAGAAACACATTTCTAACACTGATGGTGATCCAGCATGATTTGAGAGGATCCAAAGTGCATCTTTGTTTTTTTGACTATCTGTACAGTGGAATGGTCAATGTCACAAATCTACTTGTTTGACCTAAGAACAGTGCAGTATCTTACATAATGTTTCTACATTTTAAATGTCAGATTTGTGAACATTTGGACCCTGCTGTAATTGTTATACTGTGGAGGAAAGAAGATTAATGCATTTATTGACAACAAAAACAATGAGTGAGAATATAGTGTGAGAGAATGTACAGAAAAACTATTTTCAAGCATCCTATAGACTGTTATAGTGTTTTGATCTCTTTCTGCATGGTTTTAAATCGTCTCTTCATGCAGTTAATCTGTGCGCTCCTTCCAAGTGGAAATTCATCTAATTAGAGTGGCCTCAGTTTCCTTTCAAAGATTCCACAGAGCACATGCTCGGAAAAATTCCAATAATAAAATGGATCTATTATTAACCAAACATCAACTACTCAGTAGGCTATACATCAGCAAAATGCATGCAGAATGCACATCATTAGCAACATTAATTACAACTGAAAACATCACAAGGAAAGAAAAACTAGGCCTTTGTTGTGGAATATACAAAATACATTAAAAAAAGACCATGGTGACCATAGTTTCTAACAAGATATCTACAACTATTACTGTAAACTTTTATAACTTTGTTTTGTTTACTGTCATCAACATAAATTTAAAGGGATAGTTCACTTAAAATTTTAAATTCTGTCATAATTTACTCACCCTCAAGTTGTTTCAAACCTGTATGAGTTTCTTTCTTCTGCTGAACACAAAGGAAGATATTTTGAATAATGTCAGTTTACCAAACAGTTGATTTACCTCATTAACTAGGCCTATAGTATCATAGGATTATATAGTGACTACTATAGTATTTTTTTCCTATACTATGGAAGTCAACTGTCTGGTTATCTTCAAAACATCTTCCCTTGTGTTCAGCAGAAGAAAGAAACTCATAGCCTACAGGTTCGAAACAATTTGAGGGTGAGTAGGCTAAATGATGACATAATTGTAATTTTTAAGTGAACTATTCCTTTAACCATAGGCTAGGCTACTGCAGAAGATTCAGAAGCTTAGTTTGTTTGAAGAATATCCCGTATTAATTGATTAGGCTTTTGCAATAATGCAGAACTGCAAGTGCAAATGACTATGGAATTTTGGGGGAAACTGATAAACACTTCTATGGCGCTGGTTATACATTGAACGGTTCTCTATGAAATAAAATGACGATGATTGGATGATTTTAAACGATCATTTCGGGGATCAGGAACATGTTGCCTTGACAGGTGAAGCCAACTAAAACGTCATGTGAAATGTGAACATTTAACCCGCTGTGTGATCAAAAAATAAAAACTTCAAATTACAAACCAAAACTTCTTATAGAGTCAAAATCAGCAAACTAACTTACCGAAGAAAGCCACGACTTCTGTTAGGAACCGAGACCCGCGAAAACGCCTTTCTCATCCCTGAACAAGCATCCTCTCAGTGGGAGAAGTTTACCTCAAACAAGACATCTGAACCACAGGATAGCTGTGATGATCAGTTACAGCGCGTGCTCATTACGATCAATATGTGTGTGAGTCTGCGTGTTGTTCAGCATCTCCTCCCTCTGATACACACACACACACACACACACACACACACACACACACACACACGCGCGCGCACGTTTCCCCGGTGCACCGATTAAAACTATTAAGTTCAATTAAACACGACCGCATTAAACTATTCGCTGTTATCGGTGTTAGGGGTGCATGAGACTCTAACTAAACACTGTAAACAATTATATGATCAATCATTTATGACAACAAATGTTTTTACATGGCTTTAACTCATCAAAATAAGTTAACATTTTTTTAGCTTTAAAAAAAAAAGAACAAAAAAAAAAAGAGCTAGATTCAAGTCGGTTTAATGTAATAAAAATTGAAATGACTTAAACCTCCAAGTTGGTTATACTTAAAAATTCAAGGCAGCAGCTTTTTTATAATGTAACTAACTAACTGACTAACTAACTAATGCAATACATCTTAAATCTTTGTAATAATTCATGAAAAAACCTCTAGTAGCCTATATAATTACTACAACAACAACATCATCAATATAAATAAGTAGGCCTAATAAGTAAATAAATAAACAAACAAACAAACAAGCACATCAAGACTTAAACAGTGGTTGAAAATGAACTGATGGGACTCAAGAATGCCAGATTATAATTAAGGTGCACTTGTACGCTAATTCATATTATGACATTACATTTTCACACTCCCTATTTATATCTATGTCCTTGTTTATCTTGATTTATGGAGGGACCTGAGTTTGAACCTCATGATCGTGAGCTCATATAGAAAAATTTTCAATAAACTGGACAAACATGAGAAAAAATCTAGTTACTGCAGACTCTTTATAGGGAAATATTTCTCCGCCAATGCAATATTATTTTAAATTAAGAGATCAGTAGGCTACAGCCTATTCTGCATATTTTATTTATTTACTGTACATTTGAACATATATATTTTTTAAAGCATCAAGGGACCTAAAAATGTAGGTGTTCATAATACAGATTACAAATTAACCCACAAGACAAATTAAAATATACAATTATAGCATGCTAGTGATCTAGCACTTTTGCTCTTGAACTCACCTGAATCTGTCCAGGGCTCCACAGCTTGTCATGCCTTCCTCAGACTGTCTGGCAGCTCAGTGTGCTCCTCTCTCAGTGTCGTGTTACCATGTCTTCATGGTCAAATCAGAGCGGAGAGACCAAAGCACAGAGAGATGAAACTGAAGCTTTCGGCACAACTGATCTGACAGCACTGACTAGACCAGTGACACCACTCACACATGCAGCACTCGCCTCATGGTATCTAACACATGCAGCATAGTTACATGAGATCTATCTATCTATCTATCTATCTATCTATCTATCTATCTATCTATCTATCTATCTATCTATCTATCTATCTATCTATCTAAGTATTCAATTCTAAAAAAAACAAACAACTTTACCAACCCCAAATTTTTCGGCCTCATCCAAAACACCCAGTCTCGTTGATGATGCAAATATTTGCATAGCACAATATATATTAGATGTGTCCCTTCAGGATGAAAAAAGAGTCAGTTGTAACCACTTCAGATACAAAACAACAGTCACATTTCCAACCACAACATCTCCGAGTGCTGTAACCTCACAGAGCCAAAGTCTGGACAGGGGCGTAAAAGTGAAGAATTCCTCCCAAATTAATATGTTAGTTCTCTTACGAGAGGTTCTCTCGTATTGCGTAAGTTTAGCTTACGCTACGGGAAAGCGTCTTTTTAAAGATCCCTCGGTCCACTTGCGGCTCGTGCAGAGCCCCCCTCAGCGTCGGAGACCGCCACGTTATATGCGCTCTCTGCCTGGGCCAGGAACATGCTGCTCTTGCGCTCTCTTCGGGAGGATTTGAGCACTGTGAGGAGCTTCCGATGTCTACGGCTCGCCCTGCCGTCGACTCTGAGGATGACGCAAATGGACCCGCCGCAGGAGATAGCTGTTCCATCCTAGCTTCGGATAGCGAGGAGTGGTCGAGCTCTCAACGCTCCGCCTCCTCTTCTATTCAGGAGTCTGGGAGAACACGCGCTGGAGCGGAAGCCGAACTGATGCGCCTCCTTTCGCAGGCCGTCGACCGCCTCGGCTCGAGTGGTCATCGCCTCAGGAGCCCGCCCCCAACAGGCTTGATGGCTGCTTTCTTTAGAGTCGCCGCCGTCAAGCGCCCGCTTCCAGGCCCGCGCCCTTCCTCCCTGAGCTGCACTCGGAACTGGCTAAATCGTGGAATGCCCCTTTCTCCGCGAGGCTTCATTCCTCTGTCTCCGCGTCGCTCTCCCAAGTGGACGGCGCCGCCGAGAAGGGATACAGCTCTATTCCTAAGGTCGAGGAAGCTGTCGCAGCGCACCTTTGCCCGCCCTCCGCGAGATGGCGCTCAAAGTCTGCCCTGCCATCTAAAGCCTGCAGGACCACATCTGCCCTTGTCGGTCACGCATACGCCGCCGCCGGACAAGCAGCTTCCGCCCTGCACTCAATGGCTGTTCTGCAAATTCTCCAAGCCGATCTCCTCCATGAGTGGGACGAGAAAGGCCGGGACCCAGCTGCCATTACAGACCTGAGGAGCGCGACGGATCTCTCCCTTCGCGCTACTAAGTCTGCGGCCCAGGCCCTGGGGAGATGCATGGCCTCGTTAACTGTAACTGAGAGGCACCTTTGGCTGACGCTGGCTGACATGAGAGAGTCTGAGCGATCCGTTTTCCTCGACGCCCCTCTCTCACACTCCGGTCTCTTCGGCCCAGCAGTGAACGGAATCGTCGACCGTTTTTCTGAGGTGCAGAAAACGTCGCAAGCTATGAACCTGTTCCTGCCGCGTCGCTCTAGCTCCATGTCGCGCTAGCTCGGGACAGTGGAAGTCGACCTTTTTGCGTCACAAGACAATGCTCACTGCCCGAAGTTCTTTTCAAAGGACAGGGACGCGCTGGCCCGGACGTGGCCCAGCCACCCATTATATGCATTTCCTCCGGTATCTCTGTTACCACAGGTGATTAAGAGAATCAGGGAAACGCGCCATTCAGTGCTCCTCATAGCCCCGCGATGGGAGAACCAGACTTGGTTTCCAGAGCTAATGCGGCTGTCACAGACAGCCCCATGGCCTGTCCCGCCTAGAGCAGATCTGGCATCCCCACCCGGAGCGCTGGTCGCTACACGTGTGGGTGATCAACGGGTATCTATCGCCCTGCCAGACGCAGTAATGAACACAATCTCGCAGTCTAGAGTACCTTCTACTAGAAGGCTATACGCGTCCAAATGGTCTGTGTTTGGACGCGTTGTGTCTAAGTGGTGCACTAACAAAAACCTAGATCCGCAAACGTGTGGGGTCCCGCGGCTGCTCAGTTTCCTTCAAGAGCTGTTGGATAGGGGCAGATCCCCCTCCACACTCAAAGTCTATGTGGCGGCTGTCGCAGCATTCTCTGAATCAATGCACGACCAGTCGATAGGCAGAAACGAGCTTATCATCCGCTTCCTCAGAGGAGCCAGAAGGATGAACCCCCCGCGCCCCCCCTCGGTTCCTATGTGGGACCTTTTACTGGTCCTAGAGGCCCTGAAAGCATTCCCCTTTGAACCCCTGGACACAGCATACCTGAAATACCTGTCGCTCAAAGCTGTTTTTCTGATTGCACTGTCATCAGTCAAACGCGTGGGGGATTTACACGCGCTATCTGTAAGCGCGTCGTGTCTTGAGTTTGGCCCGAATGACTCAAAAGTCATCCTCAAGCCTATGGTTACGTTCCCAAAGTGGTTGCCACCCCATTCAGAGCACAGGTCATTTCTCTATCGGCTCTGCCAGCATCCGATAGTGAAAGTGATGTTAATCTCCTCTGCCCAGTCAGAGCTCTGAGATTTTACATTATGCGCTCCGCCCCATTCAGGCGCTCTGAGCAGCTGTTTGTTTCGTTTGGTGGGCGCATTAAAGGTCTCGCCGCCTCGAAACAGAGCCTGTCTAGGTGGATAATAGACGCAATCGCAGCCGCTTACACGGCAAAAGGTCTGCAGTGCCCCTTGGGCATCAGGGCTCATTCCACTAGAGGCGTGGCCTCGTCATGGGCATGGTCAAGTGGAATTTCCATTCAAGACATATGTGTGGCGGCGGGCTGGTCCTCTCCGTCCACCTTTGTCAGGTTTTATAACCTAGAAGTTCCCGCCCTGCAGGCGAAACTGCTGTCTGCTTAAGTGAGAGGTTAGCCCTGTCCAGATATTATCATGCGCAGACTACCCTCACATGAATTCAGCTCTTCTGATTGAGCTGCACTGTTTCAGGTTATGTGCTATATATGCCTATACACCAGCCACACGCGGCCGCTCTGTATTGCCTGTCAGTGCTTGTTTGCACGCGCTTACGCTTCATGGTACTCGCGCTTATGCTCGCGCTTATGTACATGCGTGTTATTCCCGCTTTCTGGGTTCACAGAAGTGTTGTGACTCATGAGGTGGATGCGGGCGCGCACGGCGTGGACAATGGGTTCCCGTAGCGTAAGCTAAACTTACGCAATACGAGAGAACCTCTCGTAAGAGAACGTACTGGTTACTAACGTAACCTCGGTTCTCTCTAGAAGAGGGAACGAGTATTGCGTAACCTGCCGTGCTAAACGCCACAAGCGCTATTTCGCTTCAGTCGATGAAAACCAGAGAATCAGCCTCCGAGCCCCGCTTATATACGCTAAGTCACGCCCATTCTGGCGGGCTAGGACGCGGATTGGACGTGACGTCACGTCGGGCTCACTGGTAGGCTGTGCAGTTCCCGCAGAGCAGTCTATGAGTGCGCTAGAATGCCCGCTCTAGGTCTGCTAGCTGCTGCACTGCGTTGACAACATATACAAAATTAAGGATAATTTTTGGCTTCAATATCTCGAGAAAATGAATCTTTCCCGTAGCGTAAGCTAAACTTACGCAATACTCGTTCCCTCTTCTAGAGTGAACCGAGGTTACGTTAGTAACCAGTACGTTTCATCGCATATTGACCAGGGTTTGAACTGAACATGTGACTCTAAAGGAGAGCTGTTTGTGTGTATAGTTGTTTGTTCATTTGCGTAAAAATGTGATGTCTGCCTGTCTGTCAGGATCCAACAGATTTCCTGGTTGAGGTCGAATGCATTTGTTTAAATAGTTTGTGAAAAGCCTTTGAAGAGAATCATATCCGATGGAGAACATGCTGAAGGATCCGGGGTGTTGGAGGGCTGCCAGACGAATTGTCATTGTAGTGTGGAAAGCAGCTCTTTAATTCTCTCTCTATCTCTCTCTTTGTGATTGGCAGGGCTATATGAAAGGTGTGAACATTCACTGGGACGTCTGTTAAATAAGTAATGGAATATACTGCTGTATATTTCGGGCAGTGTGTGAATGTGTTATATCCTCTTAGAACTTGATGTGCTCATTAGGAGACTCGGAAACAATTCCTCATTGTGTATTTGTGTGTCACACACAAGTGTAAACAGAATTTCCATACAGGTTCTGCCAGGATCCATGTTTGTCCTGCAGTAACTGCTGTAATGATGAACAATTAACTAACTGTGCTGTCAGTGTTCCACATTTCATTCTCTCATTCCCTCTCTGAGCTGTTCAAGCATATGTTATCTTACATTATGGCAGATGGATTATAACATCATTAAAAGTCATCCCTGATAATATTCAGACTCAATCCAAGTCACGAGAAAACAAATGCACATAAATACACACTGGTAAATCTAATTGCAGTGCGCTGATCTAAACTAAAGCCAACAAATCAAGCCAGATTAAGCACTGTATAAAGTCATTATTGCATAAAGATTTCTCTCTTTGTTATGTTGGAATTTGCAATGGCTTTGGAGGGGTAAAGGCGGTGGGAGATGTGTATTTGTGTGTGTTTCTATATGTATGTGAAAATCCTCATTATTATACACATGAATGAACGGCTTTCCATTCTTACATAATGATGTAATTCAGAGCTCCAGAAAATGGAGGGGAAAAAAACAACAGTCTGGGTGTGGAAATATTTATTTTCTGATGGTCAGATTTGCCTTCATCTGCCACTGTCGATTCTGGGATTTATGCATGGTAGACAAATAGATCAGAAATAAATAATTAACCAGGATTTACTGGAATAGCGGAAACATTTGTGCTTTGAAAAAGTATGTTGGGATTTTTTTTTTTTTTGGTGCCAGTACTCTCCTTTATAAATGTAAAATATTGTATAGCTATACAACTTTTATAACATTTTGGTTCTTCATAAATTGTGTTTATTTTCCTAAAAGAGGAACTGTATACATTAAAAATGAAAGCATTGCGGTAAAAACCTATATTTATAGAGGAATTC